TTTTTTTTTTTTTCTTTTTTGTAATTGTTACTGTATAGCTTGATGCATTTACTTGAAGTTGCTGCTTATAATACCCTCGAATGATAGACACATAGAGTACCTCAACGTGCATGGAAGATGATGTGGAATCCCGAACTAATTTGCAAAAATCTTTTTAATATCAAATTTAATTATTTCCACCAATTCTTATTGGTCCATGTGAGATTGCATTGATGGATACACGACAAATTCTGAGTCGTAATTTGAAAAGAGTTCGCATTTGCACTTTTCGATGGCTTTATTGAAACGCAGGAGTGGAATTTTTTTTCCAAATATGAAAAAGAAATAACCGATTCTCATATATAGGAAAGAAAATGCATTTAGGCTGAAAATTGCTGCTTTCCCATTCTCAGCATATATGGAAATCTTCTTTGGATTGGTCATCATTCGGAAAGAAAATTAACACCTGAAAAGGTGTAGAACATTAGTTTGACAATTTCAATCTGATTTTTTTTACCAAGTTCTCTGCTCTTTTATCCGAGCATCATTATCTTGAATTCAACTATTCATAATCTATTTAAGCCGATAACTTGATATACAGTTATTAGATCAGAAACTTACGGTTTGATTTTAAATTTATCACAGGATAATCCTTCCAAACCCGTCCAGAAAAGTGACGACAACAATGAGTCCCCGAGCAGTCCACGTCATCGCAAGGTGACGTTTACGTGATTATTTTAATTCATTAGTTTACTTTCCTTAACCTCTTTTACTGAAGGGCACATTTGGCAAGCTCATCTTCTAGTCTTTTTTATATATTTTTCTGTAATTTATTTTTTCGTTATATTTCTGTTTAAGCAGGTGTCTGCAAGATGGGTCCCAGATGAAGGATGCAAGCCCTTTATCGATGAAGCTCCCGTTTTTTATCCAACCGAGGAGGTATATTAAATTTTTTTTAATAATATTTTCTTTTCTCTACAAAAAAATAAAATTTCTACCTTTAGCTAACTAAAATTTCCACCTCAGGAATTCCAAGACACGCTCAATTATATAGCGACCATACGCCCAAAAGCCGAAGCCTATGGCATCTGTAAAATCGTGCCTCCTGAGTCTTGGAAGCCTCCTTGCCCTTTAAAAGAGAAGAATTTTTGGGAAAATCAGAAATTCTCGACTCGAATCCAACAAGTGGACCTCCTCCAGAACCGAGAGCCCATGCGAAAAAAAACACAGAAAAAGAGAAAAAGAAGAAAGCAGTTCAACACAAGGCCCAGAAGGCGGGCCCGCCGGGAAAGCCCGGAATCTAATTGCGAGGACAAGTTTGGTTTTCAGTCGGGATCGGATTTTACTCTTGGGGAGTTCGAGAGATATGCTGAGGAGTTTAAGGAATCATATTTCGAGGGGATGGGAAAAAACGGTGGTGATAATGTTGAGAAGAAGTGGAGGCCTTCGGTCGATGAAATCGAAGCCGAGTATTGGCGGATTATCGAGCAGCCTACAGATGAAGTTGAGGTGAGAGAAAAGCTCAGATTTTTTTATTGCAAAATTGCATTTTTAGTCCTGCTGGTTTAACGCCGTAGCATTTTTAGTCCCAAGATTTCAACTCTTTGACTTTTGATCCTGTAATTTAGTATTTTCTTGTGCAACAAAATTTAAAATTACAGGACTTAAATTGCTAATCAAAAATACATCTAAAAGATTTTTTATTAGCAGTCCTGTAATTTTAAATTTTGTTACATTTTCAGTTCCAAAGGACTGAAATTGCGTTGAATTTTAAAATCTAGGACCAAATAGCGAAATGTTCAATTCTTAGGACTAAAAACACCACTGGATCAAACCAAACCAAACCAACAGGACTAAAATTGCAATTTTGCCTTTTTTCTGTAATTAGGCCAAATATCGATAGTCTTATATTATAATTGTGCAATTTATGATTAGTTTTTTGGCTTTGGATATTAATACAGGTCTACTATGGGGCTGATTTGGAAACTGGGATGCTCGGGAGTGGATTTCTCAAAGGCTCGGATTTGTCGGGGGAGTCTAAGATAGATGAGTACATTAAATCCGGCTGGAATTTGAATAATTTGCCACGTCTTCCGGGTTCTGTGTTGAATTTCGAAGAGTGCAACATCTCGGGGGTTGTTGTACCGTGGCTTTATATAGGAATGTGCTTCTCGTCGTTTTGTTGGGTAGGTTGAATATTTATATTACCTTACCGAAAAATGTCTTACACTATATTAGGATAAAATAAACCCGTGTTTTTCTTTAAAAGAAAAAAGAAAAGAAAATTTGTTATTCTTATGTCGAATTGTAAAAGTAAAAATTGTTTCTTTTTCCCCTTTTAGCATGTCGAGGACCATCATCTCTACTCACTGAACTATTTGCATTGGGGGGACTCGAAAATTTGGTACGGCGTGCCCGGAAATTGTGCGACCTCATTAGAGAATGCCATGAAGAAGCACATGCCGGATCTATTTGAAGAAAATCCCGATTTACTTAACGAATTGGTAAGTTTTTGCATCTTGATAAAAGCTTCAACAGTTAATCTATTCTTCATTTGTTACTAAAGCCATGTACAAAATTCTTTGTTCCTTATCATAAATGGATGGCAAAAATGCAATTTTAGTCCCAAGATTCCAACTTTTCGTCTTTTGGTGCTGTGATTTAATATTTAGGTGCAATTTTGTCGTAAATGGATCGAACACACAAAAAATGCATATTTATGACTTTAAGTTCATTTGTACCACAGGTTACGCAGTTGTCACCTTCAGTTCTGAAATTAGAAAATGTGCCGGTTTTTAGAGCTGTCCAGAATTCGGGGGAGTTTGTTCTCACCTTCCCGAGGGCTTACCATGCGGGATTCAACTGCGGCTTTAATTGTGCCGAGGCTGTAAATGTGGCGCCCGTTGATTGGCTACAGCATGGACAAAGCGCAGTTGAGCTGTACAGCTCACAACGTCGAAAGACATCAATATCACACGATAAGTTGCTTTTGGCTGCTGCCCGAAAAGCCATCCGAGCCATCTGGCAAGTTTCGGTTCTGAATAAAGAGACTCGTGAGAATCTGNTTGGAGGAGAAAAGAATGGAGCGGCTTAAGGGGATTCAGATCAAGAAGATGGAGAAAGATTTCGATCTCAACACCGAACGAGAATGCTTTTCTTGCTTTTACGATTTGCATCTATTTTCCGTGAGCTGCTCCAATTGCTCGTCGAACAAGTTTGCTTGTCTAAAGCACTCGAATCGTATTTCTTGTTGTGATCAAGAGGACAAAGTAATCCTTGTTAGGCACACAATAGACGAGTTGAACACATTGGTTAAGGCCTTGGAAGGGTGCACTGATGCACTCGAGATATGGGCTTCGAAAGATGATGATAAGGCCTCTTTAGGTTCGAGTAGCAAGTTGTTCGGGTTTGATCTTTTACCGAATATCTCACCGAAAAATGAATGCTTGGAGGATTCGGAGGAAGATAAAGTCTTGAAAGTCGATTTGGATTGTGAGCAGAGATGTGTGGAGCCCGTTAGTTTCGGTTCTGTTGTTCATGGGAAATTGTGGTGTAACAAGGATGCAATATTTCCTAAAGGTAATAACTAATAAATATGTAGTTACACATTTCCCTTTTTTATTAAAATTAAAGCAATGTTCCTTAAGGGACT